CCTGGCCATTTTTCTACAAAATTTTAAAGTTGGCAAAATGCCATATAACTCACATTATTTAACCCATAGGTTCTTTTTGTTACATAATGCACTCAAAAATTGTTGGAAGGAGATTGAAACACATATTAAATAACGTACATTATACTTATTTTGTTAGTATTCCAGTTGTAAATGTGACTTATGTTGTTAGCCTCAAAAAACTGGCTAACTAGAAGAAAACCCACAAGAATAGTAAAGAAATAGGATAGTGTTTGCAAAAAACCCAAAAAATGCTATTCAGTTCATGGAAGTAGAATAGAAAAGCCAGAATCAAGAAGGAACAGTTAATTCCTACTTTACAGGAATAATAGTTTGATTCAAATTCCAAAAGATATAATGCATTTTATGCTCACTCTATCATATATTGTTCATTGTTGAATTACTTCAGCAAGTTTAAACTTTCTTTATTGTGATCCATGGATGCTAATTGCCTTTATTTCTGAAATATAATGTTAACTCTTGATACATGCACAGTATTTTCTTCGTGTTTTACTTTCATGTTAAAGTTTTAAAGAAACTTAACAGTGAGATTTGGCTCACAGTTTCCATTAGGTATAAACATGAAGAATAATTATTAGTAATCCAATTTCCCTCTAAAGTCTTCAGTTGAACTGATGATTTAATCAGTGCTTAATCACTGAACACTTTTATTATATAGAAAGATCAAGAAATTTTAACTGACTCCTGAATACTGAACCGACATAGCCACTCCAAATCTTCAGAAAACATTTAGGCCAGAAATAGCAAATGAAGCTCCACGGCTGGCCTATATGGCAGTAGATATTGGGAGAATATAAATATTTACCTGCGGTCTTAGTGAGGATTTGGTATGTTTCAAAAGTAATAAGCCAACAGAGTGGAACAGTTACCTGAATTAGGTTTTAAAAATCACTTTGACCTCCAGAAAAAGAAATCAATAGAAATTTATCATGAGATGATTTAGGACATTGACATATTTCTCAGAAATAAAAACAGGAAATACTGTATTAAAGAAGTACTTTGATAATTACACATATGTAAAACAAAAGGTGAAATGAGTCAGGCAGAAAATTCTAAATGAGACCAAGTAAAGATCCTACTTAAAGAAATAAAATTATTAGAACTAGAGTAGGTAGTGAATAGGAAATCATACTGGGGGACTTCTCCTCTCTTAAATTTTAACATACAAATAGTGAAACAGAATGAATAGCATGAGGAATAATTTTGTGTAACTGTCTAAAATTTTATGTATGTAGCAGGTATATAAAGATTAAGATTTATGTATTATAAAATATATCACAGTGAGGTTTTAATTTTACTTTTAAATGTGAGAGACATTTCAAGAAATGGTAGTAATGCACATTTTGGTGCACAGTGGATTGTGAAGCACGTATTCATTTAAGAGGAAAGTGTTTACTTTTGGAAAAACCTAAAACTTGAGTGTTGTTGCAATAAAAATAGGAATATATTGAAGAATTTAAGTTAAATTCGATGGTATTGATGATGTACTTGATCTTTTTAGTGTTTGGATGGAAAAACAAAGTAGAGCAAGCCAAGAAGAAACCATCTTTTGAAAGTCATGGTAGGCACAAACTGCCACCTCTTTCAAGAACTAAAGTCCCCCAAAGAAGTCTGAGGTGTGGAAGAGGAGGAAGTGGTACACCAAGAGGTCGTTCTTCACGTGAAGGGTGCTTGGGTAATATCTTAAGATTCAAGGATGCAAACATAGGATCAAAAACCAGTAAGTTCACATAGTTAGAATTATTTCTGTTTACTTCCCTATAAGAAAAGGTTAATTTTATTGATAATAAAAATTATTTTTAAGTGCTGGAATTACAAGAATGATTGGTTTCTCTTAAATATTTTTAAAATCCTAATCACCTTGCAACAAAATAGTGTAAACTAAATACTGTTGTTGCTAGTAATATTACTTGCCTTTACTCATTCAACAAGTTTTGTGTGGAATTCATTATTATTATTTATTTATTTTTTTTGGTACTGGCTTTTCACTCAGGGCCTTCATCTTGAGCCACTTCACCAGCTCTATTTTTGTGAAGGGTTTTTTCTAGATAGGGTCTCTTAGAACTATTTGTCCGGACTGGCTTCGATCCACGATCCTTCTGATCTCTGCCTCCTGAATAAATAGGATTACAGGTCTGAGCCACCGGTGCCATGCTGGAACTCATTTCTATTGCTCATACTTTTCAGTTTTTCACTTTGAGCCCAGAACTTCAAATGAGTTTCATCGTAAAATATTAACAGAAATTAAAAAGCACAGCAAAAATAAATAAAAGTCATTAACAATGCTCAAAGGTAAAGAAATAAATAATATTGTAGGGTGGCTCATGAAATACTTGTTTTTGGAAATGTGTGTGCAAACCTATTCCTATGTCATTTTGGTTACAATTTGTATATGAGCTTGAGGCTTGAAAATTTGCTTCCTGAGATTATCTAGAACTTCTCAAGAGTGTCTCTGATTCTGGAAGACAATTTAAAAAGTCACTATTTCATTAATACGCATCTTTGTTGTAAGAATGAGAAGGGTGAGTCAGTAAAAACTGGTGTTAATGTACTATTTTCAGAGATGCCATTCTGTACTGGATAGGAAAAGGAATACAGTTTTATTTTTTAGAAGAAACTGTTGAAAATTATTTGAAACTTTTACTTGTAACCACTGTTAAACATTATATCTAATTTTTAAGGGAATTTGTGTCAAATATTTAGCTGTTTTCATAATCAAATTTATAATTCAGTGGATGTAATTTTCTAAAGTAGAATTACAGAGTTGAAGACAATGAAAGTTGCCAATTAATATTCTGCCATATATGAGAATATAATCTTCCTAGGAAATTGGAATATAAATATGTTTCTAGTTATAAAAATTATTTTTCATTATTTAGCATATATTTCTTAAATGCTCTTAAAAGTTAACAGAACTTAAGTCAATTAGTATTATTGTATAAATTGTAAAAAGTGTAAGTCTGTTTTCACATTATACTGACAGTTCAGACTTCTAATGGAAATCTCCTTGAGTTTTGGATGATATTTGGGTGTAGGCTTGTGTATTTGGGGTTTTGTCAGTAGGATGTTTTAAAAAAAGATTGTTTGACACGACACTTACATAAAGAATGCTTAATTCTGTTTCTCCCAATACTTAACTGTTTTCACCTTACCTGGACTTTAACTATAATTAAATTACAAGGTTTAACTCCTACTTTACTCTCCAGTTCTCCCCACACCTCTTTCACACCAATACAAAATGAGTATTTTTGAGTACTTTTCTGAGTTTTACAAACTTACTTTTGAATTACACAAACATAAGTATTTGAATTTTATGATAAAACATACTTTTAAATCTGTCAGTTTTGACAAATACCTTATTCTTAGTACCAAAATATTTTAACAGCAATTTATAAGTATTAACTAAACATTGGCTATTAAAATATTGATACTACTTAACTAAGAATATTGTGTTTTCAATACAGATGATGGTGGATATACTCTTAATCTCAGAAGAAGAAGTCTGCTGTCTTTGAAACACTACATAAAGAAAAGCCGAAGCTGTGGGGGAGAGGCCCAGAGAGAGAATGGAAGGGAGATAGGTTGCTGTGAGGTGCTTAGAGTCCCCAGCAGACTTACTACAGACTTAGCAGGATAAATAAATAACTAAATAGATAGATAAATAGATAAGTGCCCCTGAACTGAGGAATGGATGGCGAAGGCTGGAATGTGACTGTGTTGCTAGGGAGAGGTGAGAAAGGGGAAACCGGAGCATGGGCAAGCAGGCTGCTGATTGGCTGGCGCCCGGAACGCGCAACAGGGCTAGAGCGTGGCAGGTAAGAGTTTCTTCAGTCAGTCGCTGGCCAGCCGGGGCAGCGACTGGGCCTGCTAAGAGTCGCTCTGCCTCGACTGAGGGTCCCAAGGCGGAGCGGTGGCTCTTTGGGCCCCGCCCCGCCCCGTCCCGTCCCCCGGGGTTCCTGCCCGGACCTCCCGGGTCCCGGCTGCTGCGGCCCCAGCGCGGTGCGGCCCCAGAGCCACCGGTGGTGGTTCCCAGCCTGGCTGTGAAGATGGCGGACCGCGCTGTCGCCAGCGCCAACGGCAGCTCATCCTTGCGGGGTACACAGGAACGAATGGGTAAGTGGGCCTGCGGCTCCCGAGGGGACTTGGGCCTTCGAGGGAGGCGGGGTTCCCACTGCCCCCGGGCCAGCTGGAGCAGCATGGCCGGCGTCAGAAAACTTTTCTCTGGAGTCGCCTTGGTCCTCCCTCATCCCGCGGGATTGTCCTGGGATGGGACAGTGGGGAGGTTGGGAGGGGGCGGGAGGGGAAACGGCCGGCCAGCGCTTCCAACGGCCAAACCGCCGATGCCGGTGGCCAAACTGTCCGTGCCAACGGCCAAACTGCCGATGCCAACGGGCGAACCCCCGCGGGCGGGGCTGGAACTCGGGGCCCCGCGTGTGGCCCCGAGTCACGCCAGCTGTTAAAGGGCAACGGACGTTCTGCTGCCCGGGATACCGCGCGCCAGGGCGGAGCTTCCAGGATTGGAAAGTTTGAGGTTTGCCCCAACCTGGGACGGGACGCTGCACCCTCCTTGTCAAGGTTCAGGGAGGATGGAGCAGGGGATGGGGATGCTTTGAAAGGTGACATGAAACTTGGCTCTGTGCTGATCTCCTGATTAGCATGCTGTAGCACTTGACTTCCCCCAAGATGTCACCTTCCTTGGGTCATCTTGCAGGCCCTAGGTTGAACTAAAGGAGAATCAGCACTTCAGAGTGCTTTCTCTTCCACACGTCTCATCGCCAGAGTACCCCCCAGCCCCCACCAAAAAATCTCGTTAATCGTATCAAAGTTTGCAGCCCTTCCTTTAGGAGATTGCGCTGGACACCTGGGCAAGGAAGTATTTCTTGCCCAAGTAAGGAAGATTGTAGCCTGCTTTGAAGACTCTCTCTCCCACCTATGCACTAGAATACATGATTTCTATTGACTTCTGTTGAAATCCTTAGGGACTTTTGCATGTGTAATTGGCAAGGTAGTTTAGATTCACTGAGATTGGGTGGCCATATGTTACTAAAAATAGGAATCAGTTCTCCAAAGAAGGTGTCAGAAGCAAACAAACGGTTCCATAGGGGAAAATCAGTACTCCTGCTTGTAGCTTATTCATCTAGAGAGATAGAGTTTGCAATAAATTGTTGTATTCTTTGTTAATACCTAAGACCTTCTGATCTTAGTTTATTTCAGTGATTGAAATTAACCTGTACTCTTGAATTTACAGCATTTCAAAATAAAAACATAAAAGCCATGCAAAACAAAAAAAGGCTTAACTCAAAACCCTCCTTTACATTCTTGCCTCTCCTTCTACATTCAGAATTGAAAATATCCCATGTTAGACTGGAACAGAACTCCATCTTGATTAAAACTGCCCTCATGGTCTCAGCATTTTCCTGAAGGGGTCAAGAAGACAACCTTTACTAGGTCAGTTTCATCTCCTGTGGAGATCCTGGCTGATGAGTTAAAACAGTGTCCATTTATATGCATATGCATTAATATATACATTAGATATATTCGTGATATAAATGTATGGATATGTTTAGTTATGTTTCCTGTGCACTGGTTGTAGCATACCAAAGAAATGTGCTGGTGGAGTGACTGAAGTGATAGAACACCTGCCTAGCAAGGGTGAGGCCCTGAGGCCCTGAGTTCGAACTCCAGTGCTGCCAAAAAAAAAAAAAAAAAAGAAAAGAAAAGGAATTCCAAAGAAATAGGCTTCTTTCAACAAACACGTTTTTTCCTATTTTTATACAGAACTTTTTTTTCAGTACTGAGGCTTGAACTCAGGGCCTATACCTTGAGCCACTCCACCAGCCGTTTTTTGTGATAGATTTTTTTCAAGATAGGGTCTCACAAACTATTTCCCCGGGCTGATTTCGAACCATGATCCTCCTGATATCTGCCTCCTGAGTGGCTAGGATTGCAGGCGTGAACCACCAGTGCCTAGCCAGAATTGTTTTAAAATACACTTTGAGTATTTCAACCAGATGAGCATAAGAAAGTTTGCTATTGACTTGTCACCTTTCCCTTCTTGTTTTTCTAAATTCACACATGATTTCTCAGCCTAGAATAAATTATGTAAAAAATACTTTGTACACATTCAGGGAAAGCTACTGAGATTGACAGCCAGATTCTCATAGAGTTTAGAGCTGGAGAACCTGTAAGGTTAGAAAATCTTGAACAGCTTCTACAAGTGGAAGGTCTACTGTAATGGCCAGCTGAATATTCTTTCCAAGTTGCATGTCTACTGTAATGGACAGCTATATATATTCTTTCCAAGTGGTCACTCATTGTAGATAGCTGGAAGTGGTAGAAAATTGTCCCCAGTTTTTATTATCAATTCCAAAGACATGCTGAGAGGTCTTCTGGAAGTATCTGTCAGCCTTGTGACTTTGTTGTTATTTTAGACAAAATTCCATGAACTCACCTATTTTTGTGGTTTCCCGATTGCATATTTCTTTGTTTTCCTATTAGTTTCTTTCTTAATGCTTTACTATCTCAACTCAAGTTGCTTTTTATTGTACAACTAAGATGTGGTGCCACTACTTGCTACCTATGTGATCTGAGAAAGATAGGTTTAGCTTCAGTTTTCTCATTGCTTTAAAACCATTAGCAAGGCTATGCCTTTTCTTTTCTCTGTTTCTTCTTTTTGTGGTGCTGAGGATTGAACTGGGCCTTGGCTGGAGTATGCTAAGTGTGCACTTCCCCAACTGAGCTATATCCGCAGCCCTCCAAAAGTTCCATTCTGATGCACAGTGAAGATGGAAGGAGAACCAGTATTTGGACATGTGACCATTCTAGGTAGAAAAATGTCAAGCAAACAAATATAAACTATACCAAAGTGCTAACACACATCTCTTGTAAACAGGCAGAAAAATGATAAAGTTCAATAAAAGTGATGTGTAAGATTAGTAGAGCACATTTTAGGGAAATGTAAGAAAAACTACAGGATAATGCACATGAGAGTTCTTAACTCTTTAATTGAACTCCTTAATTCCATGTATGGCTGCATCTAAAATGCCTCACAATCCTGGGCATCTCTGGGAAGGGCCTGGAGAAGAACACTGAAAAATCTGTTTTATCCTTGTTTAAGAGCATAGGAGATACGCCCCTATGCTATTGCACACAAGTCTGGTTACCACATATTAAGAAAAACTAAATTAACGGTTATGATAGGTAGTTAAAATAATTAAGGAAATGTGTGCTTGTGCGGCAGAGAACTAATGAAGCCTGAGATGTTAGTGGCCACTGAGAAAAGCTATCTGGGACTTATAGGGATAGTTTGACTTCTTCCTTCCCTATTTTAATTCCTTTTATTTCTTGCTCTTGTCTTATTGATCTAGCTAGAAATTCCACAAAACTGTATTGAATTGGAGTGGAGACAGCAGACAGCCCTGTCTCTCAATTCTTTTTAAACATATTTTTATAGTTTTGTCATGTTGCTCTAAAACAGGATTACATATTAATTTCAAGTTATGCCTATGTTAAGGTAATTATAATATCTATACTCTTTTGAGGCCTGAGCTATATTTTAAGTATTGCCCTGACGGTGTGCTGGACATTATTTAACAACAAAATACTTTGATAGAAATGATCATTATCTTCTTCTTGCTGATTGCATAAATTTCAGTAGTTAGGGAATTTAACCATCTTTACATACTTAATAAATTTTGGACCTTAGAGTTGGGTGTGATATCTTATGCCTATAAGCAGTGCTACTCAGGAAGTGGGATCAGGAGGATCATGATCCAAGAGACATCATGTCAAAAACTGAAGTCCTCTTTGAAAAATAACTTCAAAAATGGCTGTGTTTGTCACTTGAGTTTTATAGTGCATGTCTAGCAAGTACAAGTCCCTGAGTTCAAACACCAGTGTTCTCCCCACTTTTGTGAAGCTACCAGTATTTTTGATGGAAGCCTGTTTCTCTATTGTGTTAATGACAATATTCATTATAATGTTTCATAGTCATTAATGCTTCTAATGAAGAGATAATCTATGATTAAATCTTGCTCAAAACAGTGAGGTTAGCCAGGCTCAGAAACCAAAAATCATATGTTCTCCCTCATATGCAGGCTTTAGATCTAGTGCAAATGCAGCAATGCGGTTGGACTTGGGTCACATGATAAGGGGAGAGCACACACAGGAGGTATGAGGACAGGTAAGAAACACAAAACATGATAGGATTTGATGTCCTCACTGCAGAGGAACTACTACAGAAATTTTAAAGCGACAGAAGTCAATATGAGAAGGGGATCAGGAACTAGAAAAAAGGACAGTTAGAGATGAACCAACTTAGAATGTAACACATTTGTACATGGAAGCAATGCTAGGAATCTCTCTGTATAGCTATCCTTATCTCAACTAGCAAAAACTCTTTGTCTTTCTTATCATTGCTTATGTTTTCTCTTCAACAAAATTAGAGATAAGGGCAGAAGAGTTTCTGCCTGGAAGTGTGGGGGCATGGGGGGAGAGGGAAGGGGCAGAAGATATTGGGGAGAAATGACCCAAACAAGGTATGCACATATGAATAAATGAGAAATAAATAACAAAAATCTTGCTCAAAACACATCTCAGAAAATTATTACCATATGTCTTCATAAAAGTTGGTTTTCTTTAGTAATGAATGTTATGAAAAGACACTTTTTAAAAAAAATTACAGCTCTCCTGTCAATACATTACTGGAAACTGTGGGCAAATTTCAGTTTTGTACATTATGTTCCTTTTGCCCAAAACGTGTGTAATAAAATAAAGGTGCCATATGAGTCACAAAAACTTTGTTGGTAGATAATATATTTAGATAATTCAAATAAGTGGTTGACACTAATATTATTTAGAAAGTAGTGGTATGTAAATATTTTTCTTTTAACCATCAAAATACATCCTCAATCCTACAATATATTAATTCCATGACTGTTTTTCCTATGATATCCTCTGACTGGCTCATGCAATTGTCAATTCATGATAACATACCATTCTATCATTTATAATATAGTTATTACCTTTTCAAAAATCATTAATAAAGGTAATTTCCTTCAAGGAATATTAACTAAAACAAGTCACAAATTTTACCTGTTCAAAATGAAAGAGAAGAGATGATATATACTTACAGAGCCTTACCCAAATTAATGTCTATCTTGTAAGAATGTGGCAAGTATGAGGATAAAATACTCAGAAAAATATTAAGAATTTTAACTGTCAATTTAAACACAATTTTCCATAAATTATATAAATATATAAAAATCTATTTTGGGTATGTGGTTTCACTGATGGATTATTCTCCTGAAGAAAGAATATTGCAAGGAAAGCTTAAGATATCAAAGAAGACATACTTGGTAATATATTGCTTATCATGGTCAGAATGTATAGGGTATAAAAAGAAGTATGGGAAACATAGATAGGGAGGATAGCGGTTTAAGGCCAGCCCTGTCAAAAACTTAGTAAGACCCCAATCTCACCAAGGAGCCAGGCAGGGTGTTGTGCCCGGGTGATCCTTGACATGTGGGAGACACAGGTAGGATGATCACAGGTGTTTTGCCTCTAGCAAAAAGCAAGACCCTGCCTGGAAAATAACTAGAAGCCAAAAATGGTTGGAGATGTGATTCAAGTGAGAGAGCCCCTTGTCTTGGAAGTTCACAGCTTTGAGTTCAACCTCTGTATTGCCAAAAAACAAAAAAAGGAGTGGAGAGTAATTTGTTAGAATATGATATTAGGCACTGAAAATGATGGTTTGTATCATAAAGGAACACTTTTCAAATAAGAAAAAGTAATGTGATAGATAATACAAAAATATTTATCATGAATGAAAATGTACTTTTTACCGAATAGAGTTTTATTTACTTAACGGTACAATTTTTTATACAAAAACTCAGGAGAATTTGTCTTCTATAACTCTGTTCTTATCAATTTTGAAAGTTTGGATCAGATACTACATCAATCTATTGAATAAAAAATTGAGAATTAAATTTTCAAGATACAGAAGCTTTGGATCTGTAACTTCCTTTTTTAAATGTCTTTCCTAATTTTTATTTATTGTTTTATTTGTATACCTCTTACAAGTTTATTTATTGCTTATTTTTTCCCTTGCAAATTAAAAATAGTGCCGTTTGGAGACATGTGGGCATACCATATCGTTAACATTTGGAAGGGGGAGACATATTGTGGATTATCACTTAAACTTGATTAAAACACAATTGTAATGAAGTAAAGCAAAGAAATTGGAGAATCCGTTCTGTTCATCTACCTTACCTTTTGCATTGTACGATCAGTATCTGTATACACGTCTGCACCTCTAAATTAATTTTCGGGTCACCCCTTCACTTTAGGACCTTCCATATTCCCTACTTCCTCTGCGGCTCTTCAACCATCACATCCGGGTCCCCCAGCCCCTTATATTACTTGCCTGCGCAGTTGCCGTGGACCATTAGGATAGCTCACATCGCTGGGCAATGCTAACACAAGAGCAGAAAGCCAGGAGAGGGTAAGGAAGTTCCAAATTTAAGTACGAAAGTGAGTTTGAGTGACAGAAGAGACAACGCAAAGCTAAATCATTTCGTTTAATGAGAAATACCCGAATTTTGATTTTTCTCTCAGGATTTAATTGGAAAATTTTAAATGTACGAGTAAATTGTACATTGTGTATGTGTGTATATATATATATATATATATATACAAATGTGTATATTTAATTAAATATTGTATATGTAATGTATGTAATGGGGATGTGTAAAGCCGTGTGTATGGGAAGGAGCTAGGGTTCGTTATGCTAAAAATACCCTTTATGTAGGGACCCTTAGAAAGTAAAGCCGGCAAAGAACCCGGATTTTGTTCTTGAGTACGGGGATGGGTTTAAAGTTTGTGGAGTCTGGGAAGGGAAAAAAGGTTGAAAACCTTTTTGTTGGAGTGAAAATCAGTCTTATTACTATTTTAACTCCTTACCCCTCCTGTGGTGGTTCACCTTTATTTTTTTTCCTTTGTTATATTTGGACAAGCAGTCTAGTCCTGGATTGATTGTTGGACGTATTGCCGGGAGCCATTTTGTTTCACTTACGCTTTTTTTTTCTTTTCCGGGACAACATAGAGTCACAATAGAAAAACAAAGGCAGGATATTCTGTCACTACAATTAAAAACTTGTCCTGTTACTCCAAGAGCAAAATCCTTACCTGCTTGTCTGAAATAACAAAACTTGAGGTATTTGTTATAATTTCTGTCAGTTACTTTAAACATTGTGGCCGAAGTTTACTTTTGCCTCATAAAGGCTACAATTTTCATTGCTTTTAGCAGTTAGCATTTTAAGTATGTAAACGTTTGGCAAACACAATTTTAAGCTGAGAGTATTACATATGTAATCATGATAAGGGGAAAAACTGGAAAATACGTAGCATTTTGTAAATGAATTTGTACATTTTGTAAAAATAATTGGGTTCAAAAAATGAATTTTTAAAATAACTTTTAACATATTTTTAGGTGAAAACCGACCGCTTTGAAAACTCAGATGACCATAAGTAATTCGTATTGCTTATTTTATATTGCTAAAACAATACATATGAAATGTTTTCACTTTGAAAATATAATTATGTGAGGAATGGATATGTTATTTAGCTTTACTCATTCCACTATAATATTGTGAACCATAAAGATGTATCATTTTTCAATGTAAATTTTTAAAAGTTACAACCTGAATATTCAACTCAAAAGGATTACAATAGTATTTTCCATTTCTTTTTTTTTTTTTGTGGTACTGGGGCTTGAACTCAGGGCCTTTACTGTTAGTCACTCCACCAGCCCTTTTTTGTGATGGATATTTTCCAGATAGGATCTCATGAACTATTTGCTTGGGCTGGCTTCAAATGACAATCCTCCTTATCTCTCCCTCCTGAGTAGACAGAATTACAGGTATGAGCCACAGGCACAGGGCCCATTTCATTTTACAACCGAGTTTTTTTTTAATCTGATACATATAGAAACCAGAACTTTGGCCTAATATGTCATTGCTACTTTTTGCCTTATGTATTAAAAGGTTTCAGTTTTAGAAGTAAAAAACATTATCAGTCTATTTACAGTACTTTTCTTGAATTTTAAATGTAGTGTAAAAATTGGAACCATTTGGCCCACTTAACAGCAAAATGATGCAAGTTGTTCAGCCTGGAAAACTCTTCATAGGAGGCCTCAATGCAGAGACCAATGCAAAGTCTATTGAAGCAGTGTTTGGAAAATTTGGACACATACTAGAAGGTAATTGAAGTTAAGAATCAATCTATGTATCGTTCAAAGTAAATATAAACTATAAAAATGTCTTTTTATTGAAACTTTACATGACTAGGACTGTCATTTTCTGGGTTTAACATTTCCTTATTTTTACAAAAGCACTGATGCATGGGATGGGTAAAGTGTTGCCCTAAGCATCTCTTACTACTGAAGATAAAAACAATTAATATGCTGTGGGTGTTGGTGTGAAATGTGGTGAGAAAGGCTAACTGTGAAGTCTTTTACATATAATATTGAGAATACTAATATAATATGAAACAAAATTTTAGATTACATTTAAGATGATTTTTAAATGGTTGATGATAATGCTGTGTTTGTTGTATGAGAGCTTTGTGACAGATTGTTTAAGGACTGACAATTTTGTTGAATGGAAGTTTAACCTTTATGTTTACATAATTTAAAAGTTTACATGTATTACAGTTCTATTGATGAAGCATTGAGAAACGAAGAAGTCTAGAGGCTTTGCTTTTATTACTTTTGAAAGCCCTGCAGATGCTAAGGTAGGAATGGAAAGGTAGGAATCTTTTAATAATAATCTAGATCTGTTCAGCAAGTAACAGTATTTATAGATCTTTCCCATTTTTCTCCAGTGTTGCTTTTTCTTTTGGCAATAATGGGGATTGAACTAAGGGCCTTGTACTTTTTAAGTAGAGCTCTGCATCTTGAGCCCCTTTGTGAGCCCTTTTTGGTTGGTTATTTTTGAGATTAGTATTTCACTTTATGTCCAGACCAGCATGGACCATGATCCTCCTGTTAGTACTTGCACTTGTAGCTGGGATGACAGGCACCCACTACCACTGCACCCAGCCATTGGTTGAGATGTGGTCTTGTGGATTTTTACCCAGAATGGACTTAAACTGAGATCCTCCCAATCTCTGTATACCAAGAAGCAGGGATTCAGGTTTGAGACACCATGCCTGGCCATTTTTCTACAAATTTTAAGTTGGCAAAATGCCATATAACTACAATTATTTACCCATGGTTCTTTTTTGTTACATAATCACTCAAAAATTGTTGGAAGGAGATTGAAACACCATATTAATTAACGTACATTATACTTAATTTTGTTAGTATTCCAGTGTAAATGTGACTAGGTTGTTAGCCTCCAAAAAACTGCTAAACTTTAGAAGAAAACCCCACAAGAATAGTAGAAGAAATAGGATAGTGTTTGCAAAAAAACCCAAAAAGTGCTATTTCAGTTCATGGAAGTAGAAAGACATACAAGAAGGAACAGTTAATTCCTACTTTTACAGGAATAATAGTTTTGATTCAAATTCCAAAAGATATAATGCATTTTATGCTCACTCTATCATATATTTGTTCATTGTTGAATTACCTTCAGCAAGTTTAAACTTTCTTTATTGTGATCCATGGATGCTAATTGCCTTTATTTCTGAAATATAATGTTAAACTCTTGATACATGAACACAGTATTTTCTTCGTGTTTTACTTTCATGTTAAAGTTTTAAAGAAACTTAACAGTGAGATTTGGCTCACAGTTTCCATTAGGTATAAACACATGAAGAATAATTATTAGTAATCCAATTTCCCTCTAAAGTCTTCAGTTGAACTGATGATTTAATCAGTGCTTAATCACTGAACACTTTTATTATATAGAAAGATCAAGAAATTTTAACTGACTCCTGAATACTGAACCGACATAGCCACTCCAAATCTTCAGAAAACATTTAGGCCAGAAATAGCAAATGAAGCTCCACGGCTGGCCTATATGGCAGTAGATATTGGGAGAATATAAATATTTACCTGCGGTCTTAGTGAGGATTTGGTATGTTTCAAAAGTAATAAGCCAACAGAGTGGAACAGTTACCTGAATTAGGTTTTAAAAATCACTTTGACCTCCAGAAAAAGAAATCAATAGAAATTTATCATGAGATGATTTAGGACATTGACATATTTCTCAGAAATAAAAACAGGAAATACTGTATTAAAGAAGTACTTTGATAATTACACATATGTAAAACAAAAGGTGAAATGAGTCAGGCAGAAAATTCTAAATGAGACCAAGTAAAGATCCTACTTAAAGAAATAAAATTATTAGAACTAGAGTAGGTAGTGAATAGGAAATCATACTGGGGGACTTCTCCTCTCTTAAATTTTAACATACAAATAGTGAAACAGAATGAATAGCATGAGGAATAATTTTGTGTAACTGTCTAAAATTTTATGTATGTAGCAGGTATATAAAGATTAAGATTTATGTATTATAAAATATATCACAGTGAGGTTTTAATTTTACTTTTAAATGTGAGAGACATTTCAAGAAATGGTAGTAATGCACATTTTGGTGCACAGTGGATTGTGAAGCACGTATTCATTTAAGAGGAAAGTGTTTACTTTTGGAAAAACCTAAAACTTGAGTGTTGTTGCAATAAAAATAGGAATATATTGAAGAATTTAAGTTAAATTCGATGGTATTGATGATGTACTTGATCTTTTTAGTGTTTGGATGGAAAAACAAAGTAGAGCAAGCCAAGAAGAAACCATCTTTTGAAAGTCATGGTAGGCACAAACTGCCACCTCTTTCAAGAACTAAAGTCCCCCAAAGAAGTCTGAGGTGTGGAAGAGGAGGAAGTGGTACACCAAGAGGTCGTTCTTCACGTGAAGGGTGCTTGGGTAATATCTTAAGATTCAAGGATGCAAACATAGGATCAAAAACCAGTAAGTTCACATAGTTAGAATTATTTCTGTTTACTTCCCTATAAGAAAAGGTTAATTTTATTGATAATAAAAATTATTTTTAAGTGCTGGAATTACAAGAATGATTGGTTTCTCTTAAATATTTTTAAAATCCTAATCACCTTGCAACAAAATAGTGTAAACTAAATACTGTTGTTGCTAGTAATATTACTTGCCTTTACTCATTCAACAAGTTTTGTGTGGAATTCATTATTATTATTTATTTATTTTTTTTGGTACTGGCTTTTCACTCAGGGCCTTCATCTTGAGCCACTTCACCAGCTCTATTTTTGTGAAGGGTTTTTTCTAGATAGGGTCTCTTAGAACTATTTGTCCGGACTGGCTTCGATCCACGATCCTTCTGATCTCTGCCTCCTGAATAAATAGGATTACAGGTCTGAGCCACCGGTGCCATGCTGGAACTCATTTCTATTGCTCATACTTTTCAGTTTTTCACTTTGAGCCCAGAACTTCAAATGAGTTTCATCGTAAAATATTAACAGAAATTAAAAAGCACAGCAAAAATAAATAAAAGTCATTAACAATGCTCAAAGGTAAAGAAATAAATAATATTGTAGGGTGGCTCATGAAATACTTGTTTTTGGAAATGTGTGTGCAAACCTATTCCTATGTCATTTTGGTTACAATTTGTATATGAGCTTGAGGCTTGAAAATTTGCTTCCTGAGATTATCTAGAACTTCTCAAGAGTGTCTCTGATTCTGGAAGACAATTTAAAAAGTCACTATTTCATTAATACGCATCTTTGTTGTAAGAATGAGAAGGGTGAGTCAGTAAAAACTGGTGTTAATGTACTATTTTCAGAGATGCCATTCTGTACTGGATAGGAAAAGGAATACAGTTTTATTTTTTAGAAGAAACTGTTGAAAATTATTTGAAACTTTTACTTGTAACCACTGTTAAACATTATATCTAATTTTTAAGGGAATTTGTGTCAAATATTTAGCTGTTTTCATAATCAAATTTATAATTCAGTGGATGTAATTTTCTAAAGTAGAATTACAGAGTTGAAGACAATGAAAGTTGCCAATTAATATTCTGCCATATATGAGAATATAATCTTCCTAGGAAATTGGAATATAAATATGTTTCTAGTTATAAAAATTATTTTTCATTATTTAGCATATATTTCTTAAATGCTCTTAAAAGTTAACAGAACTTAAGTCAATTAGTATTATTGTATAAATTGTAAAAAGTGTAAGTCTGTTTTCACATTATACTGACAGTTCAGACTTCTAATGGAAATCTCCTTGAGTTTTGGATGATATTTGGGTGTAGGCTTGTGTATTTGGGGTTTTGTCAGTAGGATGTTTTAAAAAAAGATTGTTTGACACGACACTTACATAAAGAATGCTTAATTCTGTTTCTCCCAATACTTAACTGTTTTCACCTTACCTGGACTTTAACTATAATTAAATTACAAGGTTTAACTCCTACTTTACTCTCCAGTTCTCCCCACACCTCTTTCACACCAATACAAAATGAGTATTTTTGAGTACTTTTCTGAGTTTTACAAACTTACTTTTGAATTACACAAACATAAGTATTTGAATTTTATGATAAAACATACTTTTAAATCTGTCAGTTTTGACAAATACCTTATTCTTAGTACCAAAATATTTTAACAGCAATTTATAAGTATTAACTAAACATTGGCTATTAAAATATTGATACTACTTAACTAAGAATATTGTGTTTTCAATACAGATGATGGTGGATATACTCTTAATCTCAGAAGAAGAAGTCTGCTGTCTTTGAAACACTACATAAAGAAAAGCCGAAGCTGTGGGGGAGAGGCCCAGAGAGAGAATGGAAGGGAGATAGGTTGCTGTGAGGTGCTTAGAGTCCCCAGCAGACTTACTACAGACTTAGCAGGATAAATAAATAACTAAATAGATAGATAAATAGATAAGTGCCCCTGAACTGAGGAATGGATGGCGAAGGCTGGAATGTGACTGTGTTGCTAGGGAGAGGTGAGAAAGGGGAAACCGGAGCATGGGCAAGCAGGCTGCTGATTGGCTGGCGCCCGGAACGCGCAACAGGGCTAGAGCGTGGCAGGTAAGAGTTTCTTCAGTCAGTCGCTGGCCAGCCGGGGCAGCGACTGGGCCTGCTAAGAGTCGCTCTGCCTCGACTGAGGGTCCCAAGGCGGAGCGGTGGCTCTTTGGGCCCCGCCCCGCCCCGTCCCGTCCCCCGGGGTTCCTGCCCGGACCTCCCGGGTCCCGGCTGCTGCGGCCCCAGCGCGGTGCGGCCCCAGAGCCACCGGTGGTGGTTCCCAGCCTGGCTGTGAAGATGGCGGACCGCGCTGTCGCCAGCGCCAACGGCAGCTCATCCTTGCGGGGTACACAGGAACGAATGGGTAAGTGGGCCTGCGGCTCCCGAGGGGACTTGGGCCTTCGAGGGAGGCGGGGTTCCCACTGCCCCCGGGCCAGCTGGAGCAGCATGGCCGGCGTCAGAAAACTTTTCTCTGGAGTCGCCTTGGTCCTCCCTCATCCCGCGGGATTGTCCTGGGATGGGACAGTGGGGAGGTTGGGAGGGGGCGGGAGGGGAAACGGCCGGCCAGCGCTTCCAACGGCCAAACCGCCGATGCCGGTGGCCAAACTGTCCGTGCCAACGGCCAAACTGCCGATGCCAACGGGCGAACCCCCGCGGGCGGGGCTGGAACTCGGGGCCCCGCGTGTGGCCCCGAGTCACGCCAGCTGTTAAAGGGCAACGGACGTTCTGCTGCCCGGGATACCGCGCGCCAGGGCGGAGCTTCCAGGATTGGAAAGTTTGAGGTTTGCCCCAACCTGGGACGGGACGCTGCACCCTCCTTGTCAAGGTTCAGGGAGGATGGAGCAGGGGATGGGGATGCTTTGAAAGGTGACATGAAACTTGGCTCTGTGCTGATCTCCTGATTAGCATGCTGTAGCACTTGACTTCCCCCAAGATGTCACCTTCCTTGGGTCATCTTGCAGGCCCTAGGTTGAACTAAAGGAGAATCAGCACTTCAGAGTGCTTTCTCTTCCACACGTCTCATCGCCAGAGTACCCCCCAGCCCCCACCAAAAAATCTCGTTAATCGTATCAAAGTTTGCAGCCCTTCCTTTAGGAGATTGCGCTGGACACCTGGGCAAGGAAGTATTTCTTGCCCAAGTAAGGAAGATTGTAGCCTGCTTTGAAGACTCTCTCTCCCACCTATGCACTAGAATACATGATTTCTATTGACTTCTGTTGAAATCCTTAGGGACTTTTGCATGTGTAATTGGCAAGGTAGTTTAGATTCACTGAGATTGGGTGGCCATATGTTACTAAAAATAGGAATCAGTTCTCCAAAGAAGGTGTCAGAAGCAAACAAACGGTTCCATAGGGGAAAATCAGTACTCCTGCTTGTAGCTTATTCATCTAGAGAGATAGAGTTTGCAATAAATTGTTGTATTCTTTGTTAATACCTAAGACCTTCTGATCTTAGTTTATTTCAGTGATTGAAATTAACCTGTACTCTTGAATTTACAGCATTTCAAAATAAAAACATAAAAGCCATGCAAAACAAAAAAAGGCTTAACTCAAAACCCTCCTTTACATTCTTGCCTCTCCTTCTACATTCAGAATTGAAAATATCCCATGTTAGACTGGAACAGAACTCCATCTTGATTAAAACTGCCCTCATGGTCTCAGCATTTTCCTGAAGGGGTCAAGAAGACAACCTTTACTAGGTCAGTTTCATCTCCTGTGGAGATCCTGGCTGATGAGTTAAAACAGTGTCCATTTATATGCATATGCATTAATATATACATTAGATATATTCGTGATATAAATGTATGGATATGTTTAGTTATGTTTCCTGTGCACTGGTTGTAGCATACCAAAGAAATGTGCTGGTGGAGTGACTGAAGTGATAGAACACCTGCCTAGCAAGGGTGAGGCCCTGAGGCCCTGAGTTCGAACTCCAGTGCTGCCAAAAAAAAAAAAAAAGAAAAGAAAAGGAATTCCAAAGAAATAGGCTTCTTTCAACAAACACGTTTTTTCCTATTTTTATACAGAACTTTTTTTTCAGTACTGAGGCTTGAACTCAGGGCCTATACCTTGAGCCACTCCACCAGCCGTTTTTTGTGATAGATTTTTTTCAAGATAGGGTCTCACAAACTATTTCCCCGGGCTGATTTCGAACCATGATCCTCCTGATATCTGCCTCCTGAGTGGCTAGGATTGCAGGCGTGAACCACCAGTGCCTAGCCAGAATTGTTTTAAAATACACTTTGAGTATTTCAACCAGATGAGCATAAGAAAGTTTGCTATTGACTTGTCACCTTTCCCTTCTTGTTTTTCTAAATTCACACATGATTTCTCAGCCTAGAATAAATTATGTAAAAAATACTTTGTACACATTCAGGGAAAGCTACTGAGATTGACAGCCAGATTCTCATAGAGTTTAGAGCTGGAGAACCTGTAAGGTTAGAAAATCTTGAACAGCTTCTACAAGTGGAAGGTCTACTGTAATGGCCAGCTGAATATTCTTTCCAAGTTGCATGTCTACTGTAATGGACAGCTATATATATTCTTTCCAAGTGGTCACTCATTGTAGATAGCTGGAAGTGGTAGAAAATTGTCCCCAGTTTTTATTATCAATTCCAAAGACATGCTGAGAGGTCTTCTGGAAGTATCTGTCAGCCTTGTGACTTTGTTGTTATTTTAGACAAAATTCCATGAACTCACCTATTTTTGTGGTTTCCCGATTGCATATTTCTTTGTTTTCCTATTAGTTTCTTTCTTAATGCTTTACTATCTCAACTCAAGTTGCTTTTTATTGTACAACTAAGATGTGGTGCCACTACTTGCTACCTATGTGATCTGAGAAAGATAGGTTTAGCTTCAGTTTTCTCATTGCTTTAAAACCATTAGCAAGGCTATGCCTTTTCTTTTCTCTGTTTCTTCTTTTTGTGGTGCTGAGGATTGAACTGGGCCTTGGCTGGAGTATGCTAAGTGTGCACTTCCCCAACTGAGCTATATCCGCAGCCCTCCAAAAGTTCCATTCTGATGCACAGTGAAGATGGAAGGAGAACCAGTATTTGGACATGTGACCATTCTAGGTAGAAAAATGTCAAGCAAACAAATATAAACTATACCAAAGTGCTAACACACATCTCTTGTAAACAGGCAGAAAAATGATAAAGTTCAATAAAAGTGATGTGTAAGATTAGTAGAGCACATTTTAGGGAAATGTAAGAAAAACTACAGGATAATGCACATGAGAGTTCTTAACTCTTTAATTGAACTCCTTAATTCCATGTATGGCTGCATCTAAAATGCCTCACAATCCTGGGCATCTCTGGGAAGGGCCTGGAGAAGAACACTGAAAAATCTGTTTTATCCTTGTTTAAGAGCATAGGAGATACGCCCCTATGCTATTGCACACAAGTCTGGTTACCACATATTAAGAAAAACTAAATTAACGGTTATGATAGGTAGTTAAAATAATTAAGGAAATGTGTGCTTGTGCGGCAGAGAACTAATGAAGCCTGAGATGTTAGTGGCCACTGAGAAAAGCTATCTGGGACTTATAGGGATAGTTTGACTTCTTCCTTCCCTATTTTAATTCCTTTTATTTCTTGCTCTTGTCTTATTGATCTAGCTAGAAATTCCACAAAACTGTATTGAATTGGAGTGGAGACAGCAGACAGCCCTGTCTCTCAATTCTTTTTAAACATATTTTTATAGTTTTGTCATGTTGCTCTAAAACAGGATTACATATTAATTTCAAGTTATGCCTATGTTAAGGTAATTATAATATCTATACTCTTTTGAGGCCTGAGCTATATTTTAAGTATTGCCCTGACGGTGTGCTGGACATTATTTAACAACAAAATACTTTGATAGAAATGATCATTATCTTCTTCTTGCTGATTGCATAAATTTCAGTAGTTAGGGAATTTAACCATCTTTACATACTTAATAAATTTTGGACCTTAGAGTTGGGTGTGATATCTTATGCCTATAAGCAGTGCTACTCAGGAAGTGGGATCAGGAGGATCATGATCCAAGAGACATCATGTCAAAAACTGAAGTCCTCTTTGAAAAATAACTTCAAAAATGGCTGTGTTTGTCACTTGAGTTTTATAGTGCATGTCTAGCAAGTACAAGTCCCTGAGTTCAAACACCAGTGTTCTCCCCACTTTTGTGAAGCTACCAGTATTTTTGATGGAAGCCTGTTTCTCTATTGTGTTAATGACAATATTCATTATAATGTTTCATAGTCATTAATGCTTCTAATGAAGAGATAATCTATGATTAAATCTTGCTCAAAACAGTGAGGTTAGCCAGGCTCAGAAACCAAAAATCATATGTTCTCCCTCATATGCAGGCTTTAGATCTAGTGCAAATGCAGCAATGCGGTTGGACTTGGGTCACATGATAAGGGGAGAGCACACACAGGAGGTATGAGGACAGGTAAGAAACACAAAACATGATAGGATTTGATGTCCTCACTGCAGAGGAACTACTACAGAAATTTTAAAGCGACAGAAGTCAATATGAGAAGGGGATCAGGAACTAGAAAAAAGGACAGTTAGAGATGAACCAACTTAGAATGTAACACATTTGTACATGGAAGCAATGCTAGGAATCTCTCTGTATAGCTATCCTTATCTCAACTAGCAAAAACTCTTTGTCTTTCTTATCATTGCTTATGTTTTCTCTTCAACAAAATTAGAGATAAGGGCAGAAGAGTTTCTGCCTGGAAGTGTGGGGGCATGGGGGGGAGAGGGAAGGGGCAGAAGATATTGGGGAAAATGACCCAAACAAGGTATGCACATATGAATAAATGAGAAATAAATAACAAAAATCTTGCTCAAAACACATCTCAGAAAATTATTACCATATGTCTTCATAAAAGTTGGTTTTCTTTAGTAATGAATGTTATGAAAAGACACTTTTTAAAAAAAATTACAGCTCTCCTGTCAATACATTACTGGAAACTGTGGGCAAATTTCAGTTTTGTACATTATGTTCCTTTTGCCCAAAACGTGTGTAATAAAATAAAGGTGCCATATGAGTCACAAAAACTTTGTTGGTAGATAATATATTTAGATAATTCAAATAAGTGGTTGACACTAATATTATTTAGAAAGTAGTGGTATGTAAATATTTTTCTTTTAACCATCAAAATACATCCTCAATCCTACAATATATTAATTCCATGACTGTTTTTCCTATGATATCCTCTGACTGGCTCATGCAATTGTCAATTCATGATAACATACCATTCTATCATTTATAATATAGTTATTACCTTTTCAAAAATCATTAATAAAGGTAATTTCCTTCAAGGAATATTAACTAAAACAAGTCACAAATTTTACCTGTTCAAAATGAAAGAGAAGAGATGATATATACTTACAGAGCCTTACCCAAATTAATGTCTATCTTGTAAGAATGTGGCAAGTATGAGGATAAAATACTCAGAAAAATATTAAGAATTTTAACTGTCAATTTAAACACAATTTTCCATAAATTATATAAATATATAAAAATCTATTTTGGGTATGTGGTTTCACTGATGGATTATTCTCCTGAAGAAAGAATATTGCAAGGAAAGCTTAAGATATCAAAGAAGACATACTTGGTAATATATTGCTTATCATGGTCAGAATGTATAGGGTATAAAAAGAAGTATGGGAAACATAGATAGGGAGGATAGCGGTTTAAGGCCAGCCCTGTCAAAAACTTAGTAAGACCCCAATCTCACCAAGGAGCCAGGCAGGGTGTTGTGCCCGGGTGATCCTTGACATGTGGGAGACACAGGTAGGATGATCACAGGTGTTTTGCCTCTAGCAAAAAGCAAGACCCTGCCTGGAAAATAACTAGAAGCCAAAAATGGTTGGAGATGTGATTCAAGTGAGAGAGCCCCTTGTCTTGGAAGTTCACAGCTTTGAGTTCAACCTCTGTATTGCCAAAAAACAAAAAAAGGAGTGGAGAGTAATTTGTTAGAATATGATATTAGGCACTGAAAATGATGGTTTGTATCATAAAGGAACACTTTTCAAATAAGAAAAAGTAATGTGATAGATAATACAAAAATATTTATCATGAATGAAAATGTACTTTTTACCGAATAGAGTTTTATTTACTTAACGGTACAATTTTTTATACAAAAACTCAGGAGAATTTGTCTTCTATAACTCTGTTCTTATCAATTTTGAAAGTTTGGATCAGATACTACATCAATCTATTGAATAAAAAATTGAGAATTAAATTTTCAAGATACAGAAGCTTTGGATCTGTAACTTCCTTTTTTAAATGTCTTTCCTAATTTTTATTTATTGTTTTATTTGTATACCTCTTACAAGTTTATTTATTGCTTATTTTTTCCCTTGCAAATTAAAAATAGTGCCGTTTGGAGACATGTGGGCATACCATATCGTTAACATTTGGAAGGGGGAGACATATTGTGGATTATCACTTAAACTTGATTAAAACACAATTGTAATGAAGTAAAGCAAAGAAATTGGAGAATCCGTTCTGTTCATCTACCTTACCTTTTGCATTGTACGATCAGTATCTGTATACACGTCTGCACCTCTAAATTAATTTTCGGGTCACCCCTTCACTTTAGGACCTTCCATATTCCCTACTTCCTCTGCGGCTCTTCAACCATCACATCCGGGTCCCCCAGCCCCTTATATTACTTGCCTGCGCAGTTGCCGTGGACCATTAGGATAGCTCACATCGCTGGGCAATGCTAACACAAGAGCAGAAAGCCAGGAGAGGGTAAGGAAGTTCCAAATTTAAGTACGAAAGTGAGTTTGAGTGACAGAAGAGACAACGCAAAGCTAAATCATTTCGTTTAATGAGAAATACCCGAATTTTGATTTTTCTCTCAGGATTTAATTGGAAAATTTTAAATGTACGAGTAAATTGTACATTGTGTATGTGTGTATATATATATATATATATATATATATACAAATGTGTATATTTAATTAAATATTGTATATGTAATGTATGTAATGGGGATGTGTAAAGCCGTGTGTATGGGAAGGAGCTAGGGTTCGTTATGCTAAAAATACCCTTTATGTAGGGACCCTTAGAAAGTAAAGCCGGCAAAGAACCCGGATTTTGTTCTTGAGTACGGGGATGGGTTTAAAGTTTGTGGAGTCTGGGAAGGGAAAAAAGGTTGAAAACCTTTTTGTTGGAGTGAAAATCAGTCTTATTACTATTTTAACTCCTTACCCCTCCTGTGGTGGTTCACCTTTATTTTTTTTCCTTTGTTATATTTGGACAAGCAGTCTAGTCCTGGATTGATTGTTGGACGTATTGCCGGGAGCCATTTTGTTTCACTTACGCTTTTTTTTTCTTTTCCGGGACAACATAGAGTCACAATAGAAAAACAAAGGCAGGATATTCTGTCACTACAATTAAAAACTTGTCCTGTTACTCCAAGAGCAAAATCCTTACCTGCTTGTCTGAAATAACAAAACTTTAGGTATTTGTTATAATTTCTGTCAGTTACTTTAAACATTGTGGCCGAAGTTTACTTTTGCCTCATAAAGGCTACAATTTTCATTGCTTTTAGCAGTTAGCATTTTAAGTATGTAAACGTTTGGCAAACACAATTTTAAGCTGAGAGTATTACATATGTAATCATGATAAGGGGAAAAACTGGAAAATACGTAGCATTTTGTAAATGAATTTGTACATTTTGTAAAAATAATTGGGTTCAAAAAATGAATTTTTAAAATAACTTTTAACATATTTTTAGGTGAAAACCGACCGCTTTGAAAACTCAGATGACCATAAGTAATTCGTATTGCTTATTTTATATTGCTAAAACAATACATATGAAATGTTTTCACTTTGAAAATATAATTATGTGAGGAATGGATATGTTATTTAGCTTTACTCATTCCACTATAATATTGTGAACCATAAAGATGTATCATTTTTCAATGTAAATTTTTAAAAGTTACAACCTGAATATTCAACTCAAAAGGATTACAATAGTATTTTCCATTTCTTTTTTTTTTTGTGGTACTGGGGCTTGAACTCAGGGCCTTTACTGTTAGTCACTCCACCAGCCCTTTTTTGTGATGGATATTTTCCAGATAGGATCTCATGAACTATTTGCTTGGGCTGGCTTCAAATGACAATCCTCCTTATCTCTCCCTCCTGAGTAGACAGAATTACAGGTATGAGCCACAGGCACAGGGCCCATTTCATTTTACAACCGAGTTTTTTTTTAATCTGATACATATAGAAACCAGAACTTTGGCCTAATATGTCATTGCTACTTTTTGCCTTATGTATTAAAAGGTTTCAGTTTTAGAAGTAAAAAACATTATCAGTCTATTTACAGTACTTTTCTTGAATTTTAAATGTAGTGTAAAAATTGGAACCATTTGGCCCACTTAACAGCAAAATGATGCAAGTTGTTCAGCCTGGAAAACTCTTCATAGGAGGCCTCAATGCAGAGACCAATGCAAAGTCTATTGAAGCAGTGTTTGGAAAATTTGGACACATACTAGAAGGTAATTGAAGTTAAGAATCAATCTATGTATCGTTCAAAGTAAATATAAACTATAAAAATGTCTTTTTATTGAAACTTTACATGACTAGGACTGTCATTTTCTGGGTTTAACATTTCCTTATTTTTACAAAAGCACTGATGCATGGGATGGGTAAAGTGTTGCCCTAAGCATCTCTTACTACTGAAGATAAAAACAATTAATATGCTGTGGGTGTTGGTGTGAAATGTGGTGAGAAAGGCTAACTGTGAAGTCTTTTACATATAATATTGAGAATACTAATATAATATGAAACAAAATTTTAGATTACATTTAAGATGATTTTTAAATGGTTGATGATAATGCTGTGTTTGTTGTATGAGAGCTTTGTGACAGATTGTTTAAGGACTGACAATTTTGTTGAATGGAAGTTTAACCTTTATGTTTACATAATTTAAAAGTTTACATGTATTACAGTTCTATTGATGAAGCATTGAGAAACGAAGAAGTCTAGAGGCTTTGCTTTTATTACTTTTGAAAGCCCTGCAGATGCTAAGGTAGGAATGGAAAGGTAGGAATCTTTTAATAATAATCTAGATCTGTTCAGCAAGTAACAGTATTTATAGATCTTTCCCATTTTTCTCCAGTGTTGCTTTTTCTTTTGGCAATAATGGGGATTGAACTAAGGGCCTTGTACTTTTTAAGTAGAGCTCTGCATCTTGAGCCCCTTTGTGAGCCCTTTTTGGTTGGTTATTTTTGAGATTAGTATTTCACTTTATGTCCAGACCAGCATGGACCATGATCCTCCTGTTAGTACTTGCACTTGTAGCTGGGATGACAGGCACCCACTACCACTGCACCCAGCCATTGGTTGAGATGTGGTCTTGTGGATTTTTACCCAGAATGGACTTAAACTGAGATCCTCCCAATCTCTGTATACCAAGAAGCAGGGATTCAGGTTTGAGACACCATGCCTGGCCATTTTTCTACAAATTTTAAGTTGGCAAAATGCCATATAACTACAATTATTTACCCATGGTTCTTTTTTGTTACATAATCACTCAAAAATTGTTGGAAGGAGATTGAAACACCATATTAATTAACGTACATTATACTTAATTTTGTTAGTATTCCAGTGTAAATGTGACTAGGTTGTTAGCCTCCAAAAAACTGCTAAACTTTAGAAGAAAACCCCACAAGAATAGTAGAAGAAATAGGATAGTGTTTGCAAAAAAACCCAAAAAGTGCTATTTCAGTTCATGGAAGTAGAAAGACATACAAGAAGGAACAGTTAATTCCTACTTTTACAGGAATAATAGTTTTGATTCAAATTCCAAAAGATATAATGCATTTTATGCTCACTCTATCATATATTTGTTCATTGTTGAATTACCTTCAGCAAGTTTAAACTTTCTTTATTGTGATCCATGGATGCTAATTGCCTTTATTTCTGAAATATAATGTTAAACTCTTGATACATGAACACAGTATTTTCTTCGTGTTTTACTTTCATGTTAAAGTTTTAAAGAAACTTAACAGTGAGATTTGGCTCACAGTTTCCATTAGGTATAAACACATGAAGAATAATTATTAGTAATCCAATTTCCCTCTAAAGTCTTCAGTTGAACTGATGATTTAATCAGTGCTTAATCACTGAACACTTTTATTATATAGAAAGATCAAGAAATTTTAACTGACTCCTGAATACTGAACCGACATAGCCACTCCAAATCTTCAGAAAACATTTAGGCCAGAAATAGCAAATGAAGCTCCACGGGCTGGCCTATATGGCAGTAGATATTGGGAGAATATAAATATTTACCTGCGGTCTTAGTGAGGATTGGTATTTTCAAAAGTAAAAGCCAACAGAGTGGAACAGTTACCTGAATTAGGTTTAAAAATCACTTTGACCTCCAGAAAAAGAAATCAATAGAAATTTATCATGAGATGATTTAGGACATTGACATATTTCTCAGAAATAAAAACAGGAAATACTGTATTAAAGAAGTACTTTGATAATTACACATATGTAAAACAAAAGGTGAAATGAGTCAGGCAGAAAATTCTAAATGAGACCAAGTAAAGATCCTACTTAAAGAAGTAAAATTATTAGAACTAGAGTAGGTAGTGAATAGGAAATCATACTGGGGACTTCTCCTCTCTTAAATTTTAACATACAAATAGTGAAACAGAATGAATAGCATGAGGAATAATTTTGTGTAACTGTCTAAAATTTTATGTATGTAGCAGGTATATAAAGATTAAGATTTATGTATTATAAAATATATCCACAGTGAGGTTTTAATTTTACTTTTAAATGTGAGAGACATTTTCAAGAAATGGTAGTAATGCACATTTGGTGCACAGTGGATTGTGAAGCACGTATTCATTTAAGAGGAAAGTGTTTACTTTTGGAAAAACCTAAAACTTGAGTGTTGTTTGCAATAAAAATAGGAATATATTGAAGAATTTAAGTTAAATTCGATGGTATTGATGATGTACTTGATCTTTTTAGTGTTTGGATGGAAAAACAAAGTAGAGCAAGCCAAGAAGAAACCATCTTTGAAAGTCATGGTAGGCACAAACTGCCACCTCTTTCAAAGAACTAAAGTCCCCCAAAAGAAGTCTGAGGTGTGGAAGAGGAGGAAGTGGTACACCAAGAGGTCGTTCTTCACGTGAAGGGTGCTGGGTAATATCTTAAGATTCAAGGATGCAAACATAGGATCAAAAACCAGTAAGTTCACATAGTTAGAATTATTTCTGTTTACTTCCCTATAAGAAAAGGTTAATTTTATTGATAATAAAAATTATTTTTAAGTGCTGGAATTACAAGAATGATTGGTTTCTCTTAAATATTTTTAAAATCCTAATCACCTTGCAACAAAATAGTGTAAACTAAATACTGTTGTTGCTAGTAATATTACTTGCCTTTACTCATTCAACAAGTTTTGTGTGGAATTCATTATTATTATTTATTTTTTTTTTTGGTACTGGCTTTCACTCAGGGCCTTCATCTTGAGCCACTTCACCAGCTCTATTTTTGTGAAGGGTTTTTTCTAGATAGGGTCTCTTAGAACTATTTGTCCGGACTGGCTTCGATCCACGATCCTTCTGATCTCTGCCTCCTGAATAAATAGGATTACAGGTCTGAGCCACCGGTGCCAAGCGGAACTCATTTCTATTGCTCATACTTTTCAGTTTTTCACTTTGAGCCCAGAACTTCAAATGAGTTTCATCGTAAAATATTAACAGAAATTAAAAAGCACAGCAAAAAATAAATAAAAGTCATTAACAATGCTCAAAGGTAAAGAAATAAATAATATTTAGGGTGGCTCATGAAATACTTGTTTTTGGAAATGTGTGTGTGCAAACCTATTCCTATGTCATTTTGGTTACAATTTGTATATGAGCTTGAGGCTTGAAAATTTGCTTCTGAGATTTATCTAGAACTTCTCAAGAAGATGTCTCTGATTCTGGAAGACAATTTAAAAAAGTCACTATTTCATTAATACGCATCTTTGTTGTAAGAATGAGAAGGGTGAGTCAGTAAAAACTGGTGTTAATGTACTATTTCAGAGATGCCATTCTGTACTGGATAGGAAAAGGAATACAGTTTTATTTTTTAGAAGAAACTGTTGAAAATTATTTGAAACTTTTACTTGTAACCACTGTTAAACATTATATCTAATTTTTAAGGGAATTTGTGTCAAATATTTAGCTGTTTCATAATCAAATTTATAATTCAGTGGATGTAATTTTCTAAAGTAGAATTTACAGAGTTTGAAGACAATGAAAGTTGCCAATTAATATTCTGCCATATATGAGAATATAATCTTCCTAGGAAATTGGAATATAAATATGTTTCTAGTTATAAAAATTATTTTTCATTATTTAGCATATATTTCTTAAATGCTCTTAAAAGTTAACAGAACTTAAGTCAATTAGTATTATTGTAAATTGTAAAAAGTGTAAGTCTGTTTTTCACATATATACTGACAGTTCAGACTTCTAATGGGAAATCTCCTTGAGTTTTGGATGATATTTGGGTGTAGGCTTGTGTATTTGGGGTTTTGTCAGTTAGGATGTTTTAAAAAAAGATTGTTTGACACGACACTTACATAAAGAATGCTTAATTCTGTTTCTCCCAATACTTAACTGTTTTCACCTTACTCTGGACTTTAACTATAATTAAATTACAAGGTTAACTCCTACTTTACTCTCCAGTTCTCCCACACCTCTTTCACACCAATACAAAATGAGATTTTTGAGTACTTTTCTGAGTTTTACAAACTTACTTTTGAATTACACCAAACATAAGTATTTGAATTTTATGATAAAACATACTTTTTAAATCTGTCAGTTTTGACAAAACCTTATTCTTAGTACCAAAATATTTTAACAGCAATTTATAAGTATTAAACTAAACATTGGCTATTAAAATATTGATACTACTTAACTAAGAATATTGTGTTTTCAATACAGATGATGGTGGATATACTCTTAATCTCAGAAGAAGAAGTCTGCTGTCTTTTTGAAACACTACATAAAGAAAAGCCGAAGCTGTGGGGGAGAGGCCCAGAGAGAGAATGGAAGGGAGATAGGTTGCTGTGAGGTGCTTTAGAGTCCCCAGCAGACTTACTACAGACTTAGCAGGATAAATAAATAACTAAATAGAAGATAAATAGATAAGTGCCCCTGAACTGAGGAATGGATGGCGAAGGCTTGGAATGTGACTGTGTTGCTAGGGAGAGGTGAGAAAAGGGGAAACCGGACATGGGCAAGCAGGCTGCTGATTGGCTGGGCCCCGGAACGCGCAAACAGGGCTAGAGCGTGGCAGGTAAGAGTTTCTTCAGTCAGTCCGCTGGCCAGCCGGGGCAGCGACTGGGCCTGCTAAGAGTCGCTCTGCCCTCGACTGAGGGTCCCAAGGACGGAGTTTCATTTTCAAGAACTAAAGGCATGGACACAATATAAAACTGGTATATCCGTAATGTTCAACCCAGTTTGTATCTCCAATACTACATCCCTGACATTATCTGAAATTGATACTTTTCACACTTTGGACCTCAGCTGAGTCTCCAATATTAAATTCCATTATTTTAGAGCTTATACGTTGATACTGTGACAACATGGACCCAGAATAAATCACAATATATAGCTTGGACAAAAATTGTAGTTGATACTGTCACATTGTGGGCCCACAGCTGAACTTCAGAAATTAGTCCCTCAAACAAAAAACTGAAGTAATATGGCCATGCTGTGAGTTGAAGACAAAATATCCAGCAGTAAATACATGGGCTGGTCTCTGGAATTGATCAGTGTCCATTGTGCGACCCAGGTTGCTTCCTCTATCCAATACATCCCTTGGATGTTTGAAACTGTTAAACAGTCCCCCTGTGAATGAAAACCTAAGTCGGCATTAAATCCAGGAAAACAGGTTTGAAACTGCATATAGTCACGCAATGGACTGTATTACTAAACTCACCAGCAACTTCACGGCACATCTGTATATCTTTGAAACAAAAATAATTTTTACCAAGGCTGAATCTCAATCATCAAAACCTCTGGACCTACAAGGTGAATCTGATTGTAGTCACAGAAAACATGGGATTCAGGATAAAACTCAAGGATAAATCCCTTAGGACTGCGACCATGGATTCAGCAAGAAGTTCAAGAAATAACAATCTTTCTGGTCAGAGACTGCTATCCTGATATTAGTGCTATGGGACTAATAAAACATTTGAATTTCCAGAAAGGAAATCCCAGGTCACAATCTACAACTGTCACAATATGGACATTAGATGAAATTTCTGCAGTTTAGTAAATCACCATGGGTTCCTACACACTAGATGAAGATTTGTAGAAAAACTGTGACGGTCCAAAGAATGACATTTCCAGTACTAAGTCCTTTAACAAAGAACAATGAGCAATAGCTTTACACTATGGTCTCAGGGAGAGTCTCCAACAATAAATCTATGGAGTGTATCTATGTCAGATACAATTAAACTATGGACTGATATTGTAATTCAAACAGTAGAGTTTTGGACAAAGGCTGTAGCTCTACAGTCACAGTATGGGCTCCAGAGTGATTCTCCATCAGGACCTCTATCTGATACAGTCACACTGCCATGGGCTCAGGCTGAATATCCACCAACAAACTTGTGGACACAAACTAGAAGCTGATAGAGTCACAACACAATGGCTGCAGGCTGAATATTCTCCATGTAGTCTATGGAGTAAGCATGGAACTGAAATAATAACAGCATCAGGCTTCAGACTGAGTCTTCACCAGAACATTTATGTATACTCCCACAGCGGCCCCAGGCTTTTAAATCTTTAGCAGGAAATCCATTGCCAGAGCCTTTGTCTGACAAAGTCATACCTTTCAGGTCCCACACTGAATCTTCCTCAGTAAATCTATGGCCACGGATGGTATCTGATATAATCACACCACTAGGTTTCGGAGTGAACTGTATCTAGAAATCTGTGGTCAGAATCTGTAACTGATACAACACACCATCAAAGCTTCTTCTAGAATCTCCACCAGTAAGTGTAAGGACAGTGCCTTTATCAAATAGAATAAAACCACCTTGGTTCCAGGCTGAATTAAAAGAGTACATCTATGGACAATACTTGTATCTGATACAGTAACAGTACTGTGGACTCAGGCTGAATATCCAGGAAGAATTTCCTGACAGAACTTATTGCTGATATATTCACAACATGGACTCAGTCTGAATTTCTAACAGTAAACCCGGGATTCAATCTGTCTCTTCTGCATTCACACCGTGGCACAAGGCTGAGTCTCAACAGTAAGACATTGGACACAACTAAATCTGATTCAGTTTTAGTGTGGAACCAATCTGCTGCATCTACACTAAATCACTGGACACAGTCTAAAACTGATACATTTACAGAGTGGACAAATAGTCAATTCACAAACGTCAAGCATCCAACAGAAGCTGTATCTAATATATTGAATCAAGCTGAAATTGCAAAAACAAATTCCTGGACAAAACTTGAAACTGATACTGTGTTACAGGTGGCTCAGGCTAATTCTGAAATCATCAATCCATGGATACAAGCAATAGATAATACAGTACACCATTGTTCAGGGTGTTTCTTTAGCAAAAAGTCCTTGGACACAGTTTGAATCTGATATAATCACAACGTGGACTCAGACCCTAATACCAGCTGTAAATCCATTGACGATGACTGTAACTGGTAGAGATACCCTGTGGAGCCTAGCTGAAATTATGTCAGTAAATTCTCAGGTACAATCTGCAACAGAAATATTCACACAATTGATTCAAAACCAAACTATTGCAGCAAATGTCTTGACACACTCTATATTTAATCAAGTCATTCTTTTTAACAAGGCGGTTAGCCCAACAACAAATCACTGGACAAAGCCTGAAGCTAATACAATAGCAATGTGGACACTGGCTAAGTCTCAGAAACAAAAGGCCTGGACAGAAGTTAACTATGAAATAGTCTCATCATGGAATCCAGGTGAATTCTCAGAAGTAAAGATTTGGACACTGCCAGAGGCTGGTATATTCAAGCA